GGTTTGGCTTGTGGTAGGGGAATTGTTTTTCCAGGCATCTTTTTATAGCTAGTCTGCTTTGCTCTGGAGCCCAAGCCCTAGCTAGCCCTAGTTACTGAATCACTCTTAGGTTTGTAGGGATGAGCTGGACAGGGGTGGATTCCACAGATGAGGGGTTCTGTGCAGAGAGCATCCTCTGTAGGCAAGGCCAGCATGAATGAAGCTGGGCTTCAGCTGACTGCAGGCAGTGCTCTCATAGTGTGCTTTCCCTGCTTCTCCTTCCCCCAGCAAAACAAGGCATGTTAATATCCTGCTGTTCATGGGGTACATGACAAAGGACAACCTGGCCATTGTGACCCAGTGGTGTGAAGGCAGCAGTCTCTATAAACATCTGCATGTCCAGGAGACCAAATTCCAGATGTTCCAGCTAATTGACATTGCCCGACAGACAGCTCAGGGAATGGAGTAAGTAGACAGTTTGGTGAGTCCTTGTGGGAGCTGAACTGAGTGGCACCTGGGTGGGCTCTTTGACACTGGATGATGCACAGGAACTCTGAAGCTCCCATTCCTCATCAGCCAGGCCTAGCCACTGTTTGTAGGAACCTTGGGCCCAGGCAACAGGAACGCCCTCTGCTCACCAGTACTTTTGTCAATTAAAAAATTGTGTATATTTGTGTGGGTCACGTGTGCCAGCACTCAGGAGCTGGAGTCATTCATGAGCTGCCTGATGTGGGTGCTGGGAATTGAAACTGAAACTGGGTCTTCTGCGAGAGCCCTGTATCACTCATTCATAGTGCAGCCATCCTATTAAATTCTCACCACACAGCAAAATACCCAGTTTATAATAGGTCAGCCTTCGCACTGCTGGGCTGTCTTTGGATGAAATGTGTGGTAAAAATTATGGCATCTTCGCTATTTTTTTGTTTGCAAACCCTATCCAAGTTGGCAGTATGCGGGGCGAACTGCTACCCAGTTAGCTGATGGGCAGTGAGGCTTTTGAGTGCATTTACACTGTCTGTACCCTTTCTATAGGTAACAGGCTTGGGCTGGGAAGACAGGCTCCTGGGTGCCTAATAGTTAACTGATTGGTTTTTCTCCCTCACAGCTATTTGCATGCAAAGAACATCATCCACAGAGACATGAAATCCAACAGTATCCTTTGGTATCAAGTTTCTCAGCTTAGGGACCCAAAGGATCCCTTTTCTTACATATGGTTCACAGTGCCTGGGGAGAGCTTCTTAAAGGAAAACACATGGGCCTACTGCAGCCTGCAGTGACTGTGTCCACAAGACTTCCTTAATGTCTTTTTCCCCCCAACAGTGATCTGGAAACAATTCCTTTTAGAGTGGAGATACAAAACTTAAACTCAGTGAATTATACAAAATCTTTTTGAGATACTGCTGTACAGACGAGAAAGTAATATTTCCCACCCTCTGATGCACTGCTAGGATGTGTTACCAGCAAGTCCAAAGTGGTTGCTGCCTCTTGCTCAGCCATTCATACAGTAGATCAATGTGGTATTTGGTGGAAGACACAGATATGAAAAGATCCTTTCAAACTAAGTTATGACACAGGGCAGGAGAGCTAAAACTGTAAAGGTATATTATTGGTCTTGCCAACTGAAAGCAAATTGTTTCTGGTGGTTCTTGGACAGGTACCAAGAAAATGCTAGATCAATAGCTGCACATCATGTACCAAGAAGTGTGTTAGCTGAAATAAAGACACCACACCTTGTATAGTAACTCTATAAAATTCCAGGGATGTGACTTTGTTTTTTCATTATTTTCCCTGGCAAAGGCCAACTCTGAAAGCTTTTATGTAGTCTTTCCAACCATAACAGCCCTCACTGCAGTCATTGTGAGAACTCTGGCAATTGGGATAGTAGATCTGCTCTCATTATACATTCTGGGACTGGAACTAATCTCCTGACCTCCGCAAAAGGGCCATGTTTCTTGTGGGTTCCCTGGAATCAGTGTCAATTCAGATTGTTTCCTTTTCTCCACTGTTCAAGATTTGAAATTGCTACATGTTGTCCTGGAATGTACAGGAGTCAGCCTAGAGTCCACTGTTAGACACCGTATTCCTTGTTCCTCATACCAACTGTGCACCTTTTATGCTGTGAGACGGTACATGGTGTGGCAGTGTTAAGCTCAGCTGTGCTGAATGTCTGCTGGATTAGTGGCCATGACCACTTTGTTACACTTTCCTGAAGTAAGATTTTTGTTTTTTAGCAGCTAAGCAATGCTCTAAGATATTAGCACAGATGTAAGGTTTGAACTCCCATGGGCCAGCAGGTCACAAAGTTAGATGTGAGCTGATGGAAGTCACAGGTAGACCAGTTCCAGCAGGTATTTTGAAGGAAACATTTGGTGGTGAGTGCGAGTGCCACATAGAGGTGAACAGTCTGGGGTCCTGCCTTCTGGAAGAGAACTAATTTCAGAATTTGATTTAGTAGCGAGGTGAAGGAGGTAGAATGAATGCTAAACTGTCAGTCTCCTTAACAAGCATTGAGATATATTTCTCCATGAAGGCCTCACGGTGAAAATTGGAGATTTTGGTTTGGCAACAGTGAAGTCACGCTGGAGTGGTTCTCAACAGGTTGAACAGCCCACTGGCTCTGTACTGTGGATGGTGAGGAAGCTGGCCCCACACAACTTCCTGAGTACGATGCATGTGCTGGCCCAGAGCTGGGTGCATACCAGTTTTGGGAATTTGGTTGATCCCTGGTATCAGCTTAAGGCAACAGAGGCCAGAGCCCGGGGGTTTAATCTTTGGGGAGGAGCTACCCTGAGCTAAGGCCTGGACTCCCTCTGACTAGTTGGCTCCTGAATGTCTCTGGAGCCCATCACCCAGGGACTAACATACTTTGTCCTCATAGGCTCCAGAGGTAATCCGAATGCAGGATAACAACCCGTTCAGCTTCCAGTCTGACGTCTACTCCTATGGCATTGTGCTGTATGAGCTCATGACCGGGGAGCTTCCCTACTCGCACATCAACAACCGAGATCAGGTGATCTGCACAGGGCCTGGCAAAGCAGCGAGGGGCTGTTAGTTTCAGTGTTCAAACGAGTTTGCTCAACTGTTTCCTTCTTTAGATCATTTTCATGGTGGGCCGTGGATATGCTTCCCCAGATCTTAGCAGGCTCTACAAGAACTGCCCCAAGGCAATGAAGAGGTTGGTGGCCGACTGTGTGAAGAAAGTAAAAGAAGAGAGACCTCTGTTTCCCCAGGTTAGCACAGTAGTTCAAATATGATTGTATTCTGAGCATGCAGATGTGGTGGGGAGTGGACCTTCTGTGTTCCACAAGCTCTTAAGAGCTTGTGTGCTTTGGACACTTGACTGAAAGGTATGGCTGGGGAGATACCAAGTCCATCTAACCCGAGCACACTGGGATCTTGTTTCAGATCCTGTCTTCCATTGAGCTGCTTCAGCACTCTCTGCCGAAAATCAACAGGAGCGCCTCTGAGCCCTCTCTGCATCGGGCGTCCCACACGGAGGACATCAATGCTTGCACGCTGACCACATCGCCGAGGCTACCAGTCTTCTAGCTGATGTAGCTGTCTTTAGGCCACCAGGGGAAGAAGAGTCAGCAGGCACCACTTTGTTTCCTTGGGGGCAGAATGCATGTTTTCAGAGAAGCTGCTGCTAAGGACCTAGACTACTCACAGGGCCTTAACTTCATGTTGCCTTCTTTTCTACCCCTCCTGCCCTGGGAAAGGAAGCTGTCCACCATGCTAGCCTGCTCCGATCCAGAGGTATACAAGTCAGCTGAGTATTTTTAGGGCAAGAAAATGGCCTTGGAGAGAAGTCAAAGTGGCTCGCACTCTGGCTGCTGCAGGGACGTGCAGTCGGGAACTTGGCTTGCTGAGCCCATCTGCTGCAGGGCACAGACAGTGGTGCAGTGCCAGTGCCAGTTTTGCACATGGAGTCCTGGCCACCTGGGGGAGCCTGCTTTGGTACTACAGAACTTCACTTTGTGAATCGTGTCTAAGGTGTTCTGTGTGGACGGCTTTCCAAGAGCGGTGCTCCACCTTCGGGTAGCCTCCCACACGCTGAATTTGTCTTCCAGGAGCTGCCCCTATGGGGTGGGCTGCAGCCCAGCCTATCTCTAGTCACATCCTTGTCTGTAAGAAAACCAGGAATACAGGTTTTCTTAATGATTTGGGGTCTTAATTTTGTTTTTATTGCGTCTGACAAGATACAGTTATCTGATGGTTCCTCAATTATGTTATTTTAATAAAATAAATTAAATTTAGGTTTAATGGCTACTGACTCCTTCAAAAGTAATACTGATTTCACAGCATGGACACCTACTTGTTTCTTGTTTGAGGGTCTGTGCTGTGTGAGCCTTCTCTGCATTTACATGAACAGCCAAGCAAAAAGCACACAGGTTTAAGGAGCATACCCACACTCTAAGGAGTGAGCACATTTATAAAATATTTGATATCTACAGGGCTTTTTACAAAAATAAATTCAGGCTTAGAACAAACTTGCTCTGAATTACAGTGTTATTACACAGTACTACATTTACAGGCTGTTTTGGCCTCATGTCCCCTCAGATACAAGTGACTACTGGGTCAGGACCACAAAAACAGTGTCGAGCCTACTTTACAGGAGAGAACGGGCAGTCTGAGTGTGACACCTCAGTGTCTTATGCTCACTGCAAGGGGAAGATGGTGATGGGGTTTCCCTGGAGACCTTTACAGACAGGAGCCACCCTTTTAACTGTCAACTGCACATCCCCGCTGACTTGGGGCTCTGGAGGGAACCAATCAAGCCTGACCATCCTCAGAGAAGTAGCCATCTACACTATGGTGCAGCACCAACATATGGTGACCATGTGCTCTCCAGAGCTGCATAAATAAATCCAAAGGCTCACAGCAGGCTACATTAGAGATGAGATGGTCACTGCAGAGGAGCCCTCCACAGGGCTGGCGACACCTTGATTAAGAGAAACTGATCTGCTCCTTTATGAGCAGCTCCAAGTTTACTGTTGCTTAAGGAAGAAAGTCACAAAAGAAAAGATAGCAGATGGGTTTCATTTAAAAGCAATCAATTAAAACAGCTGGACCACGTAGCTGGTCCCCCAAGAAAGGGGCTGGAGGTACAACAACTAAGAGCTCAACTCTAAACGTAGTGATTCCATGGACTTGGCTGTCTTATGTCCTTCCCGTCGCCAGGGCTGTGAAAGTGGAGCATGAAGAGACCAAGGGCATTCGCTACCACTCACATCCAGGTATACCACCTTGTCAGTGACAGGCTTCCGCAACCTGCCTTGGAAAGCTGTGGCTGCGGAGCCCAAAATGAAGGTGTCAGCACCGAGTCTAGGTCTCTGATGGCTCTACTCCAGAAAGGTGCATGAAGAGGTCTCCAAGCTCCGTCACGTCGACATCCTCTGTGCTGGGGACCTGCTGGGTTTCTCGGTTCTCGATAAAATCCCAAAGCCGCACTGAGTTGAAGAACTGCAAAAACAGCCAAAAAGCACACCTGGGTCAGTGGAGATGACAGCAAACTCTGAGTACCAGCTTGCTTTGCTTTTGTTGACCCCACTGCTCTGCTGCCAAAGCTATTAGGAGGGGTCTGGGCAGTAACTAGAATTATCCCAAAGCTTCCCTAACCAGCTTACCCTCACAGTGCCTTCAGAACTCAGCTGCTTCCGAGGTTTCTCTGGCTCTGCCAGCCGCCCATCAGGGTAAGCATGGCGGTAAAGGCACTTGCTTCCAAAGGGGCAGGTCCCCTTGCCTTGTTCAAAGTATTTACATGCCTTTTTCCTGAAAAGCACACACAAAATAAATGAATGAATGATGAAAGAAGCAGAGCTGGTGGAAAACTGAAGTTCAGCTAGTCTTACTGCAGCCCCACCTGTGACACTGGGGGAAACCTAGGTTAGTAGAAGTGAAGTGGGATTCTGATTTCCAAGCTGGACAATGCTGCTGGGATGCACTGCATGGAGGCTGTAGTGCTCAGAAGCAAGGGCAGCCCTTCTCCCAATCCCAGCAGCTCCAGTTACTCTGCACTTGGGCCAAGTGAGGCTTAGTTACTCCAGGTGCAGAGTTCTGAAACTGATTTGCGAGCTCTGCTCAAGTCTCCCAAGTGAATTTAGTTCTTTCCTCCTGGTCAGGAATCCTGTCACAGCAAGAGGCAGCCTAGTAAAGCATGTCTTAGATGCTAAAGCTACAGGTACCTTCTACTTTTAGAACCTATCCTAACTCTTCCTTGTCCCTTTGGCCGCCTCCATTGTTCTGGGATTTTATTTTTTTATAGCTTGGACATTAAGGTCTCTCAGGGTCCTTCAGTAGCTTCAGAACTGCCTTCTCAGTGGGCATGGTGGCCTACATCTATAATCCCAAATCTCAGGAAACAGAAGCAGGAAGGTCGCCACGAGTTTTGAGGCCAACCTAGTCTATAAAAAGCTCCAGCCAGTCAGGGCCCATATCAAAACAAACCCCTTGGATGGTGGTGGCATACACCTTTAATCCCAACACTCGGGAGGCAGAGGCACGAGGATCTCTTATGAGTTTGGATCTCTGCGTTGATGCCAGCCTGGTCTACAGAACTAGTTCCAGGACAGCCAGGGCTACACAGAAACCCTGTCCAAAAACAAAACCAACCAACCCACAAACGAAAACCCTGCCATCCCTAGGCTCCACTCTCACATGGCTTTCCCTTTTCTCCTCCAGCCCTATCTATCTGCCTACAAAAGTCAAAAGCTCCACCTTGGTTACCTCACTTGGTGTTCTCTGCTCTCACATCCATCTAAGCTATTGACAAAACTCTCAAACCCATTGGCCCTCTAATTTTCACTGTTCCATTACCAGGGACAGTCGTGTCTTCCTTGACACCCCCCCCCCCTTTTCCACTAGTTAGTCTCCAGCCTAGCCCACAAGGACAGGGTATTCAGGACCACATGGCTTTCTTCTTGCACCCAAGGTGGCCCCAAGTGCTTCCTCTATTCTGGCATAAGGCACTAATGAAGAAATCTGCCACCACACTGGCCTATCACACTTTGATGAGAGATGATCTCACCCATCTCTGTTCCCTGGTGGCACTTGGCAGAAGTTCCTGTTCTGGAGACTGCTCAAGAACATCCACCAAAGGGACACACTGCCACAGCCAGGCAAGGTCAACAGTAGTGGAAGGCCTTCTAAACAGCAAAGCAACTTTCTAAGCCCAGCCAGCTCTGTCCTGCTGCATCCGCCCTCTTGTGGATGGACAATCATATGACACAGGGGAAAATGGTAAAGTGGGTAAATATTAGGTACAGTGATATTTCATTTGTATTTTAATAAATAAAGCTTGCCTGAAGGTCAGCAAGTAAAACAGCCACCCTGGTCAGCCTTACAGACCAGGCAGTGGTGACACACACCCTTAATCCCAGTAGCCACACTAGTCTGCCATAGAAACCAGGCGGTAGTGGTGCACACCTTTAATCCCAGCACTAGAGAGGAATATAAGACAGGAGGAGACAGCTCTCAGTCAGTCTCATTCTGAGATTCCTGAATGGAGGCAGGATCACCATTTCTGACTGAGGTAGAGGTGAGAGCCACTGACTGGCTGCTTTGCTTTTCTGGTCCAGGTTGAATCCCAATATCTGTCTCTGGGTTTTTATTAATCGTGCTACAATGAAGCTATAGTAATTAGATAAATACAAAAACTTGCAAAACAAATAATAGGTAAAAAGCAAGAAAAAATTGATTTTTGGCTAGTTATGATGGTGTAAGCCTTTGATTCTAGTTCTGGGATGACAAAGGCAGGTGGATCTATGAGTTCTAGGCCAGCCAAGGCTACACAGTGAGAGTGGGTCTCAATAAAAACAACAGAAGAAAAAAGGAGCAGATGGGGATGGGGTAGATGGGTGAGGGGAGGGGTGTGAGGGGAGGAGGGGAAACTGGTAGGTATGAAGAATAAACAAAAAAAATGTTATTTAAGTAAAAAAAAACCTTTAAAAGTGAGCTTTAAATGGCAAATCTGATGTTGCCATATGGGCTTTGTAATAATGTAAACAGAACATACATTTTTTTTTTTTTCGTTTTTCGAGACAGGGTTTCTCTATGGTTTTGGAGCCTGTCCTGGAACTAGCTCTTGTAGACCAGGCTGGTCTCGAACTCACAGAGATCCGCCTGCTTCTGACTCCCTAGTGCTGGGATTAAAGGCGTGTGCCACCACCGCCCGGCTCAGAACATACATTTTATAAGGCAATAGGAATATTCTGTGAGAATATTCCTTTTAAAAAGAAGCCAGGCATGGTTATACATGCCTGCAATCCTATCACTAGGGCAGCTGAGGCTGAAGACTGAGGTCAGAGCAGGCAACAAAATGTGCTGCCATGACAAGTACGCGGGGGTCACCTCTCATCTGCACTTCAATTAAGGCAGGGCGCCTTTGCTTTATTCACTTGACTGCTCAGTGTTTTCCTTTCCTAGAGTATGAGCTGTGTGAGGCTGGCACTGTCAGCTTGAGGGATGTGTCCCCTGCAATGGACAAGGCCTGTGAGATGGCAGATCCTCAACAGGTACTTGTTCAATGCTTGGACAATCAGAGCAGTCAAATTAACCTCAGCACCAGGGCTCATTGTAGAACTCGTCTGCTTCCTCAAGGCTTTGCTCAGCTCTGCAGCTCAGAGCCCAGCAAAGTGCCTGACAGGAGTAAGAAGCTCTGATATCCATCCACGGGGTCCACACTCTTGGGAAACCTGAAGATTGACAGAAGCTCAAACCACACCCAGCCATGGAGGTACCAGAATCCCCAATGAAATCAAGGCACTTACCCCATTCCCTGTTTGAAAGCTTCAATCAATTCATTCTTTTTATTCTGATCTTCTACCCAGTACACACTTGGAATCACAAACTCTGATATCACACGGCACTCTGGACAAGACCTGAGGAACAAACAAATCAAGTTTGTAAGGGAGAAAATAAATCATGAATCCTTTGCACATTCCACTCCGAAATCCCTTGCTCAAATGTATGGCCAGAGACATAAGCACCATTATCTAAGAGCAGCTTGTGCTGATGAAAACATTCGACTTAATAAGAAACAGAGATTTGAGGCCGGGCGGTGGTGGCGCATGCCTTTAATCCCAGCACTCAGGATGCAGAGGCAGGGGGATCTCTGTGAGTTCGAGGCCAGCCTGGTCTACAATAGCTGGTTCCAGGACAGGCTCCAAAAGCTACAGAGAAACCCTGTCTCAAAAAAACAAACAAACAAAAAAAGGAAAGAAAGAAAGAAAGAAAGAAAGAAAGAAAGAAAGAAAGAAAGAAAGAAAGAGAGAGAAACCGAGATTGGCGCATTCATCTGGGATAGCCAATAAGCACACAACAATACTCATTATTCCCAGTGTACCGAAGACGAGATGACAGTGAGATACACTTTACTCCTGTAAGTGTTGGAGAGGATGTAAAGAAACTGAAATCTTTATCAGCAGCTAAGAGTAGGAAATGGCTTCAGTTAAAGGCCAAGCTACCGTGAAGCTCCTGGGATCTACATGAGTGCTCACTAGCTAGTGAACAGGTTACAAGCTGTTCTCAGAGAACTCACCCACACAGCATGCTCATCAGGGGTGGCCCTGGGAACATTCGCTAAGGCAAAGGCCATGTAAATGACAGGCAGAGTAAGGGATTTGTAGAGAAAGAACCTACGCTGGAGGCTGCCTGACAGAAGACAACAGGACCGGACAGGTGGCAGTCCAGGTTGGGGATGATGAAGTTTCTAAAACTAGGCTTCATGTCAGCAGCAACTGGAAAGTACTGGGCACGGCAGTACTGTACTCTCAGTGAAGCTGCTGCACACACGCAAGTTCCCCAACAACATGCACCAGGTATTAGAGAGTGGAGGGGAGCCATATCCCAAGGGAGAATCAACCCTGTTATTAAGGTAAAAAGCCCCAAAGCACAAAAATGTTACAAAGCAACTAGCCTAAAGCAAACACGACTGTCCTGAGTTCACCAGGTCTACAAGACAGAACCCAGCCGGCAACAACTGACAGTTTTGCAAATTCCAACATGGAGAGACAGGTAAGACAGGCAGATGGGCTCAAGAGGGTTGACGTGTGCAAGCTCACAGCTGGGGCCTGAGCTCTAGAGGGCATTAAGTCCCCATGGCCACAGAGAAACCCAGCTGCACTCACTTTATGATTGGGTTTTCAAACTGCTTTGCACATCTCCACTGGCGGATGCAGGACAGACAGTAGGTGTGGCTGCAGCTGGAGAGAATGCCAAACCTCCTCTCAGAAGCAGATGCCTTCTCCAAGATCACCTCCATACAGATGCTGCACACTTTGTCCTGGCTTGCCTGGAAGGCAAAAGCCTTTTCCATCTCGTGTTCAAATGTCGACATACACATCTGAGGACGACAGGGAGGAACCCAGGAGTTGCTCAGTTACATAGTCACAGGACCGTGTAAAAATAGTACCCATAGTCCCTGAATTCAGGACACAAAGATCTGACCACAAAGTGGACCTCAAGCCACCTTGTCCTTGTCCCAAGTTCCCTAGTAGGATATGATCACTACCAGCTTACAGCCATGGAGTTCTACAACTCTTAGATCACTGTGGGAATTGCAGCATTCATGAGCACTGGGTCACAGGTCTCCTGGCTCTTCTGGATGGCATGCCTATTCTATGCCATACCAATCCAGTAAATGTTAAGTAACTGTGACCCAGCTGAGTGAATTCAAGTGAATGAAGGCAGATGAGAAGACCCAGACCCCTGCTTTGAGTGAGTGCACACAGCAGTGCCCTCTGCACACGAATAAAGAACAGAACCAATCTGAGTTCCACAGCTTGCTAGCCCACTGCCCCATGGAGGCTGGACTGCCAGGAATGCTGTCTGCTGGCATGTGCATTAGCAGCCCTCCCGGGACATAGGCCTCCTCTGTCAAGAGAGGTCATGACCATTTTATCCCACTGGGTAATTACCACGTCCTTACAAGAGGTGACCTGGACTCTAACACTGTAACCCTGGAATGAGCACAGCCTAATGTGAGACAGCCTCTAGCTACCAGGGACATTCACAACTTTTCAACACTTGGCTCCAAGAGTCCATGATAAAAGGGACTAAAGAGATGGCACAGCAGTTAAGAGCTCTTGTTGCTCTTCCAAAGGACTTGCATTTGGGTTCCTACTCTCATTGGGCAGGTTCAACAACTGCCTCTAACTCCAGTTCAAGATTCTACACCTCTCTCACCCTATAGGTACTCACACGCTTGTGCATACACACACAGACACACACAATTAAAAGAAAAGTCCATGATAAAGGTTTTTCAAAGTTTCCAAAATATTGGCTGCCTGGAGCCCCACCACAGAGATGTGTAAAGCTAGGGAGGGAGGGGGAGAGACTGGGTGCTACATGGTGCAGAGGGCACGCACAGGCGCACGCACTCCTGAGTGGGGACTGCTTTCTATACTTTGCACACGCACTCCTGAGTGGGGATTGCTTTCTATACTTTGCATTTTACTCTGAGCTTTCTCAAAGAATGTACTCAATGTTCTGTGAAATGAACAAATTGAAGCTTCTTTTTAAAAAATTATTTTTCAGCCGGGCGGTGGTGGCACACGCCTTTAATCCCAACACTCGGGGAAGGCAGAGGCAGGGGGATCTCTGTGAGTTCAAGGCCAGCCTGGTCTACAAGAGCTAGTTCCAGGACAGGCTCCAAAGCTACAGAGAAACCCTGTCTCGAAAAACAAAACTATTTTTCTTTTTAATTTTTATTTCATGTGCTTCCATGTTTGCCTGCATGTATATCTGTGTGAGAGTGTGGGATCCCCTGTAACTGGAGTTACAGGCAGTTATGAGCTGCCATGTGGGTGCTGGGAATTGAACCCGGATCCTCTTGGAAGAACAGCCAGTGAGTGCTCTTAACTGCTGAGCCATCTCTCCAGCACTACTTTGCATTTCTTAAAGCTTAATGATTTATCTCATCACTATTACTCGTGTGTGTGCGTGCGCACATGTGTATGTACACGAGGTTCTTGTGGAAGTGAGAAGAGCATATCAGCAGTGGGCGCTGGGAAGCCAATGCTGGTCCTCTGCAAGAGCAGCAAGTATTCTTAATTGCTGAGCCATCCTTCTTTGTCCTAAATAATCAAAAAACTGATAAAACGGCAACAGGAAAAGAACTTGGAAACAGTAAAACTAAGTCAGATACACAACACAGGCATTCTGGCAGAAAGATAGCTGTGAGACTCCTGACTCTGTCCCATGGTACATTCAGGTTTCTTAAAATGAGTTCATGCTAAGGTTTTCAAGTTACCTTCTCATGAGCTTTTCTTTGTTCTGGGTCAAAGGGGTGCAGGACTTGAAGCCTGCAGATCTCACACATGTCCCCATGCAGGTAGACACAGGCATCTCCAAACCGGCACTCCCCAGCAGCAGCATAGGGACACAACTGCTGCTCACTGCTATAGGAGCTGCTGGCCTCCAAGTCGTCCAGGCCACTCCTGATGGCATCTAGATAGGAATGGGGCTTCGTCTCTGGGCTGGTCTGAGGGTCACTGCAGCCACCTGGATTCTTCACTGTGCTCGGGAGAGTCTTGTCTTCAGCCAGGCCAGTGAGATCTCAACACAAAATGCACACATACACACATGAGAACAGGCTCACCTTTCATGTAGGTACTAGTCCAAATTAGGAACAGTTAGAGAAAAGTAGACCACAGAACAACAGTGCAGAGGCTGGGAGATGGCCCAGGCAGTCAAGGGCTGGCCATCCAGAACAAAAGAATGAGGTCTTTTTATACAGAACGCAAAGATGTCAACATACAGACCATTTAATGCTTAAACCCCAAAACATGAGATCCTGAGGGGAACAAGCCCAAGAGCTAGGAAACTTTCCTGAGGCCCAGCAGCACAAAAGCCTTTACCACTTGACGACTTCTTTCTCACAAACCTGGTCTCAGCCCAAACCCCTTCCTTGCTCTGTGTCTGAAAATGCTCCTAAACAATCACTACCAGGACATGACATCAAACAAGAGAAAAGTGACATGTCTCTTGCATAAAATGCCAGCTTCAGTGTGGCATAGCTTTAATCCCAACCCTCAGGAGGGAGAGGCAGGTAGATCTCTAAGTTCAAGTCCAGCCTGGTCTACAAAGAGTGTTCCAGGACAGCCAGGGACATAGAGAGAAACCTCGTCTCAAAAGACCAAAAACAAGCAAAACAAAAAGACCCAGCTAGCTTCAAAATGAAGAGCGTCTCATCAGTGGGTGACCCCTGTAAGAGGCAATTTCACAGTGAGAAAAGACCACTCTGACGGGCCCAAAGTGGAGCTCAGCCCAGCTGTGGAGATGCACCTCTGAACCTCTGCAGCCTGTTTTCAGGTCAACTCTGGGTCCTGGGGTGCCAGGAGCTTCCTGATGAGGAGGCATGGCAGCAGCACTAAACCACACATTCTGCTTTCCCAGAGGCAGCAAAGGCTGCATTCACTCACTGCGGTCTCTGAGCACCAGCATCTTCTTCTCCCGCTTCCCTGGTTCATGCAAATGTGTTCTCGTAACAGATGTGGCGATGTCAGGAGAAGGGTGAGGATTGGGCAAGCTCGAGGAGGGCACAGGGTGGGGTGCAGGGCCTACAGCTCCACCTGCTGCAGCTGGGGTCTTCGTATGGTCATATCTGAACAAGACATAGCAATGTATCATGGTCATGCAGGCCCAAATACCTTCACCCCCCACCCCAAACACTACCTATACTCCCAGCCACCAACAACTGGACTCACTGAGGTGGACAAGGGTCTATCTCTGTACTCTTAACTAGAAAAGTCTTTTGGAGTCATTTAACCTGCTACCTATACCCACAGCTAAGTGTCCCAGTAAGACTGATAGGAATCCATCCACTGTCCAGGTCATCTAAAGAGAGCCTTTGACACTTACACTACCAGGAGGCGTTTTGGGTAGGAACTCCAGGATATACTACCTGGAGTGGGTGGATGGGTCGGGGAATAGCAGGTGGCTGACTCAAGCTCTAGAGTTCTGCACACAGCAAGGACTAACTGGGGTTTGGTCTGTTCTTCAAGTTATGGAGCATCTCAGTGTTGTCCCGCCCGGAGCAACATGGGCTGTGTGTGCATGAACGCCATTAGCCTCCACAACAGAATCACTCAAGCACGAACTGGAAATGGCTTTAAAATAAATGGCATGCCACCTTATGACACAAAAAAACCCCCGATGAGGAGACAGGCTGGTGTGATGTGGGAGTCTCCTCTGTATGCTGTGAATACCATTGGTTAATAAAGGACTGCTTTGAGCCCATAGCAGAGCAGGGCAGAAAGAGCTAGGCGGGGAAAACAAAACTGAATGCTGGGAGAAAGGAGGCAGAGTCTGAGGAGAAGCCATGGAGCCGCTGCTGGAGAGGGTCGTGCTGAAACTTTGCTGGTAGGCCATGACCTTGTGGTGATGCACAGATTAATGGAGATGGGTTAAATTAAGATATAAGAGCTATTTTGTTTTGTTTGTTTGTTTTGGTAGAAAAAGACAAGATCTCCTGAGTAAATTGGGAGCATAGGGACCTTGGGGGAGGGTTGAAGGGGGGAGGGGAGAGGTAGGAATGGGAGCAGAGAAAAATGTAGAGCTCAATAAATATCAATAAAAAAAGTATATAAAAAATGTAAGAGTTAGCAAATAAGAAGCTAGAGCTAGTAGGTCAAGCAATATTTTAAATAATATAGTTTCTGTGTGATTATTTTGGGGCTGAGCAGCCAGGAACCAACAAGTGGCCCTACCAACACGGGTGGCACTGGAAAAGTCTATGGTGTGTTATATAGGGTTTAAAAGAAAAATACCAATTACTAATATTCTAAGTACAATTTTAAGTTCAAAACTTCCCCTCATTAAGACCACGCTCAGGAAGTATGTATATGGCATACACCTGTGTTCCCACCACTGCGGTTAGAGCAGAAGCTCAAAGCCAGCCTTGGCTACATAGCAAGTTTGAAGTCAGCCTGGGAGACATAAAACTGCTAACAAAACCAAACACAAGCCCCATTCTCCACACACAGCTTCACTTTAGTAGCCACAGTTGTGGCAGCCTTACCTGCAGCGTGAACCATAGGCGCAGTAGCCCTTCTGGTAGTACTTGCAGATGGTGGATGGCTTGCTATTCGCCAAGTCATGTGAGAACAGGCACTGGCTGCCTTCGCGACACACGCCATGCATAAAATACCTGAGGAGACAAAGAACAGCTGAGTCACGCCTTGGGGAAAGCGGCATTCTCAAGAACTACATACCAGCCCCGCCCATATTGTGCTCTTTTCCTTGATTCTAAACAAAGTGATTTTCCATGCACCACAATGACCCAAGACTAGCTCTTCGGAAGAAAAACGATTTCAAATGTCTCTATATTAGGGGCTGGAGAAATGTTTAGTGGTTACTAGCACTTGCTATTTTTGTAGAGGAGTCAGTCTCTGTTGCCAGCACCCATATCTTAGCTAATATCTATCTGAATCTGATGCCCCCCCCCCCTTCTGGTTTCTTTCATCACTGCATGTGTGTGGTGGATAAAAATACATGCAAGTAAGCATTCATACACAGAAAATATCTTTCAAAAACCCGTCTACATGGATAAGCTCTTGATTTATGTTAAACATATGAGATACAAGTTTCACAATTGGGAAGACATGTTAGGAAAACCCACTCTCCCCACCCTCCCAGAGCTCTGGGAGTTAAAAGATGGCTGACTGGGCTCAGGCCAGGTCACAAAGCCCTCTTCCCTATCCTTGCTGATTCACCTGTTAATGTGGAGAGAACACCACCTACTGCTTCATGAAGTTGTTACAGTCAGCCCCAGAGACAGTGTGGGCGTCAGACAACATAAGTGATGCAGGGCATGGTGGCACACGCCTGAAATCTTATCACTCTTATGACACTGGGGATTTAGCTCTGTTCGTAGGATGCTTGCCTAGCATGTTCTAAGACATGAGTTCCACTCCCAGCACAGAATAAATCAGATGTTGTAGTACATGCCTAGAGTCCCAGCACTCAGAAGAGCCAGGAGGATCAGAAATTGAAGGTCATCCTTAACAACATAAAAAATTTGAAGCCAGCTTAGACACGAGATCTTGACTTAAAGAAAAACGGCTGATGGTGGAGGTGAACAACTTTAATCTCAGCACTAGGGAGGCAGAGGCAAGGAGATCTCTGTGTGCTTAAGGCCAGCCTGATCTACAGTGAGTTCCAGGTCAGTCAGGGCTACACAGAGAAAACCTGTCTCGAAAAAACAAACAGAGGTCTAGAGCAGTGATTCTCAACCTGTGAGTCATGACCCTTTTTGGGGGTCACATCATCATATATCCAATATATCAGATACTTACATTATTATTAGTTAACAGTAGTAAAATTACAGTTATGAAGTAGCAACAAAATAATTTTATGGTTCATGTCATCACAACATGAGGAACTGCATTAAAGGGATGCGTTGGTAGGAAGGTTGAGAATCACCAGTCTAGAGAGATAGCTCAGTGGTTAAGAACTCTGGCTGCTCTTCCAGAGGACCTGGGTTTGATTCCCACCCAACACCGACATGGCATTACAGTTCCAGGGGGACCTGACACACAGGCTTCCTCAGGCACTGCATGCATATGGTGCGCAGTCATACATACAGGCAGATCACATATAATATACACATACAAATAGAAGTAAAAAGAAAAGGAGAACCAGAGTGTACACTGGGCACAAGGGATAGTTCTGGGATGGTGGACATAACAACATATATTCAAACTTAACTACTGATAACACTAAAAAAACAAAACAAAACCAGGGCTGGAGAGATGGCTCAGAGGTTAACAGCACTGGCTGCTCTTCCTGCATTCACAAGGTGGCTTAGAACCATCTATAATGAGATCTGGTGCGCCTTCTTCTGGCCTCCAGGCAGAACATTATATTCATAATAAATCTTAAAAAAAAAAAAAGCAACTTTGACACACTTCTAACAAGTTTCTGTAAGTTACAGCTCAATAAACCCTTAAAGACCTGGGAGGAGGGGAGGATGGCTAGAGAAGCAAGCAGAACACAAGGGGTATGGTTGGTAACCAGGTGGTCATCACATCTGGTCATCAGACTTCAAAATATGGTAAAAGATATAAAAGACATTTTTTGAGACAACCCACTAATGTCTTGAGTATGAACTAGGCCATGCATGGTCCATACTCAAATACATGGTCATACTGGTAAAAATGAGCATTTATTGAGGCTGGTAATGTAACTGGGCTGGCAGTGTGTTCACCCACTATGCAGAAGGAGCATCACTGGGAGTGGCAGTACTTGTGTGCTGTCAGCTCTGGAGGGGGAGCAGTTCACGGTCACCCTTGACTACAAAGGGAGTCCATGATGACCCATGCCCTAAGTTCAAAAAAAGAAAGTTTATTGACACAGAAATTGAATACAGCTGAAAAGAACAGATTATTGCTGTGAAATAACCCTTCTGTACACTATGTGGATATATGGTGCGGGAGAATTATCTGTATTCTGTCAATCATGTATTTTAATAAAACACTGATTGGCCAGGCGGGAAGTATAGGTGGATCAACCAGACAGGAAGTAGAGGCGGGGCGATGAGAACAGGAGAATGATGGAAAGGAGGAAGCCCATTCCTCCCAGTCCAGCCCAGACCCCTGAAGAAGCAACATGTGAGCTGCCCTGCTGAGAAAGGTACTGAGCCACATGGCTAACATAGATAAGAATAATGGGTTATTATAAGCTACAAGAGCTAATAGGAAGATTGAGCTAATGGGCCAATCAGTTTATAACCTAATGTAGACTCTGTGATTTTCCTTGGGGCTTGCTGGCTGTGGGGTACAGGGCAGGACAGAAACCCCAAGCAGGCCCTCATGTTACAGATATATGTTGCTATGATTGGCTTAATTAGCAAGCTGACTGGCCAATAGCTGAACAGGATAAAGTTAGGCGAGAAAGTCAAACTGAGAATGATGGAATGAGGAAGGGTGGAGTCAGAGGTGTTGGCCAGTCAGTTGGACACACAAAACAGGATATGAGTGCCAGAGCATAGATTAATAGAAATGGATTAAAGTTGTAAGAGCTAGTTAGGAACAAGCCTAAGCTATTGACCGAGCATTTATAATGTATATTAAGTTCTCCAAATCAGTTATTTGGGAAGCTGCTGTCTATTATTTGAGAACTGGTGGTCAGGACAGAAAAACTTCACCTACAGATTATAAAACTGCATACAGCCAGACATACTGGCTTACACCTTTAAAGATCAGTAGTGCTCAGAAGGCAGAAGTAGGCTGATTTCTGTGAGTCAAGGCCAGTCTGGTCTACACAGCAAGTCCCAGATCAGCCAGGGCCACAAAGTAAAACTTGTCTCAAAAAGACTAAACAAAAGATGGGTGTGATAGTGCAAGCCTTGGATCCCAGCACTCTAAATCAGGTTCTTTATATAGAGAGAGATTATACTCAGTATAGATAGATAATCTTCAACCTCCTTGAAGAGCTGTAGAATATGGCCTTTAATCTAACTCAGAGTTTTGTGGTAGTGAGACACAATTGCTCCTGGCAACACCGCTCTATTCCCGAGAGAATGTTGAGCACCAAAGACACTCCACCTGGAGCCTTTCTTTTTGGCAGAACTGGCCTTGGGGCAAAGAAATGCCCATACCTCAACAACTGACAATCTCTGTGAGCTTAAGGCCAGCCTCATCTACAAAAAGAGTTCCAGGACTATTACAGACAAATCCTGTTTCGAGAAACCAAAAGCAAGCAAACAACAACAAAACCCCAAAAACAAATAATAATAATCCATGCACAAACCCCACAAAAGCAGAATGGAATATTATTCAGCCTTAAAAGGGAAAACATTCCCAACTCAAAACTCCATGAGTGCTACGTGACACAACAAATCCATGTGAGGTCTCTGAACAATTAAGTTCACCAAGGGAGAAAGGAGAGACCGTTGGCAGTTAAGGGGGAGACTGGAGTTCAACACGGTATTTTTGTTTCACAGGCTGTGCCCTGGAGATTGCTTACACAACTGTGAATGTACCAAAGCCACAGACCTGTGACATGCGTGCCCTGGCAAAGGCTAAGCTATCTAGATTCACTTTAGCATATGTTTTTAGACTCTCTGCTCCTATGATGCACACCATGAGCAAAAGCAATGCGAGGAAGAAAGGGCTTATTTCAGCTTCAATTCTCAGGTCACAGTCTAAACGCTGATGACTGGCCTGCTCATTGTTTTCTTATACTGCCCAGGGGTGGCACTGCCCACAATGAACTGGACTATCCACATTAGTTACTAATCAAGAAAAAGCAGCAACAGGCTTGCCTACAGGCTAATCTAATGGCCACTCTAAAGACCATGTAACTCTAGTTTTAGTTAAGTTGACAAAAAACCAAAAACCAAAAATCAACAACAACCAGGACATACAATAGTCTTTAAACTGTCTACGATAAGGGTCACTTACAGAAGGGTTAAAAAAGAGGGTGGGACAGATTCAATGCAATGCCCATCAAATCCTAGCAAAATTCTTCAAAGACGTCGAAAGAATGGTACTTAACTTCATATGGAGAAGCAAAAAAAACAAACAAACAAACAAACAAAAAAAAACCGAAGATAGCCTAACAATCCTGAACAATAAAAGAACTTCTGGAGGCATCACAATCCCTGACTTCAAACTCTACTACAGGGCTACAGTACTGAAAACAGCCTGGTATTAGTATAAGAACAGAGAGGAGGACAAATGGAACCGAATAGAAGACCCGGATATTAATCCACACATCTTCGAACACCTAATTTTTGACAAAAAAGCAAAAAATATCAAATGGGAAAAAGAAAGCCTATTTAACGAGTGGTGTTGGCATAACTGGATAGTAACATGTAGAAGAATGAAAATAGACCCATATCTATCACCATGCACAAAACTCAAGTCCAAATGGATCGAAGACCTCAACATAAAGCCAGCCACACTGAAACTCATAGAAGAGAAAGTGGGGGGCTGGAGAGATGGCTCAGTGGCTAAGAGCATTGTCTGCTCTTCCAAAGGACCTGAGTTCAATTCCTGGCAACCACATGGTGGCTCACAACCATCTGTAAAGAGGTCTCGTGCCCTCTTCTGACCTGCAGACACACACACAGACAGAATATTGTATACATAATAAATAAATAAATAAATATTTTTTTAAAAAAGAAGAGAAAGTGGGAAGTACACT